GGAGTTTCGACCGGTTGCCGAGAGCCTTTTGGGCCGAACCGGAAAAGAGGAAAGTAAGCAACGAGATAAAAGTGTGGGCGGACATTTGGCTATGTAAATGAATGGATAAATCGTTAGGCGCGAATGCTGTAAGAGGCTTATATGCTAAAGAAGAAAGAGAGAGAGAGAGAGAGAGGAGAGAGAGAGAGAGAGAGAGAGAGAGAGAGAGAGGAGAGAGAGAGAGAGAGAGAGAGAGAGAGAGAGATGAGAGAGAGGAGAGGGAGGGAGGGAGAGAGAGATAGAGAGAGAGAGAGGGAGGGAGGGAGAGAGATAGAGAGACAAAGAGAGAGAGAGACAGATAGACAGACAGAGAGAGACAGACAGAGACAGAGAGAAAAAAAAATGTGCACGCAAAACATCACCAATCAGAGAAGTGATTACATTATGCACATATTATATACTATATAAATAGACAGAAATAGATAGATGGATATGCATGTAATTATTTATATATGCACTCTACGTATACCTAATATAAATATATACCTATGTACCTAAACAGATAGATAAAACTGTGTGTATGTGTGTGTATGTGCGTGTATGTGCGCACACACACACACACACATTGTACCCAGTTATCTTTCCCTTCTCTTCTCCAGCCTCCATTCCACGTAATCATCACGCACCCTAGTTTTAAGAAAATAATTCTGTTGTGTTCCTGGATGTATTTCTCTCATTCACTTTGTCTCTCTTACTTACCTTTTCCTTCCTGCTTCTCTTATCTTCTCCTCTCCTCTCCCCCCCCCCTTCCCTTTCTTCCACACACGTTTGAAAATCATTTCGAGAAATATCTGTAGGTTTTTTTTTTCTCCTAAGCCCTGTCGTCCGCCCCTTTCTCCTTCCTTCCCCTCAACCTCCCAGAGGCCATTCCCCAGCGCCCATAACATCACCCCTTCCCCGCTTCCTTTTATTTTTAACTCACCCAACACTTCCCCTTTCCTCCTCGCCCACGCCAACCCTTCCCTTCCCTCAGCCTCACCCTTCCCCCTTTCCTCCCCTCACCCCCACACCTTCCCCGCTTTCCTCCCTCACCACCCACAATATCCCTCTAACCGCCCACACACCCGTGTCCTCCTTCCCCTCGCACCTCTCCCCCTTTCAGCTGCACTCACCAAATCCCTCACATCAGACCACCCTCACACAGATGTCCCTTTCCTCAACGCGAATACATCTCCCTCACCTCCCCGTGCTCAACACATCCCTTCCTCACCACCCTCATCTCACATTGCACCTAGCCTTCCTCACTGTCCCCTCACCTCCCCCTCACTTTCCCCTCACCCCTTCCCTCCTCTTCCCCCTCCCCCTCAACCCTCCCCCCTCTCACCCTCTTCCACCCTTCCCTTCTGTCGTCTTTGAGGAAATATCCTTCAGGTTTGGGCGGGCCGCCATTAAGGCCCAGAGAACGCCGGCGTCGCCCGGAGCCCTGGCCCATTTCATCCTCGCTGGCAAAGGGGATGCCATTTTCCTCCGTCGTCTCTTTTACTCCCGCTCTCTTGCTTCCCCTTTTATCCCGCTTCTTGCTTCCCTTTTACTTTTCCGCTTCTCTCCTTCCCCCTTTTAATCCCGCTTCTCTTGGCTTCCCGCTCTTTGCTTCCACCTTTTAATCCCGCTCTAATTGCTTCCCCCTTTTACTCCTGCTATTTTGCTTCCCCCTTTTACTCCCGCTCTCTTGCTCCCCTTTTACTCTCCGCTCTCTTGCTTCCCCTTTTACTCCCGCTTCTCTTTTGCTCCCCTTTTACTCCCGCCTCTCTTGCTCCCCCTTTTACTCCCGCTCTCTTGCTCCCCCTTTTACTCCCGCTCTCTTGCTTCCCCCTTTTACTCCCGCTCTCTGCTCCCCTTTTTACTCCGCTCTTTTCTCATCGTCTCTTTTACCCCTTTTTTTTACTCCCGCTCTTTTTCCTCATCCGTCTCTTTTACTCCCGTGCTCCTTTGCTCCCTTCTTTTACTCCCGCTCTCTTGCTCCGCGCTACACGCTTTTATCGCTCTTTTACTCCCGCTCTCTTGCTACTCCGCTCTCTTGCTCCCCCTTTACTCCCGCTCTCTTTGCTTCCCCTTTTACTCCCGCTCTCTTGCTCCCTTTTACTCCCGCTCTCTTGCTCCCCCCCTTTTACTCCGCTCTCTTGCTCCTTTTACTTCCCGCTCTCTTGATCTTTGCTCCCGCTCTCTGACGTTGCTGAGCGCGTTCGTGCCTCTTCTCTCTTTTTCTCGGTCTGTCTGTTTTTTTGTTTGTCTGTATGTCTGGCTTTCTCTCTCTCTCTCTTTTCTCTCTCTCCTCTCTCTCCTCTCTCTCTTCTCATCTCTCTCTCTCTCTCTCTCTCTCTCTCTCTCTCTCTCTCTCTCTCTCTCTTTCACTTTTCTTTCCATTTGTATGTCACCTCTTGCTTTACCTTGTATCTTTTTTAACTTGCTTTCCCCATCCACCTTCCCCCCCTTTCCCTTTTCCTTCTCTTCCCTTCCTCATCCCCATCCTTTCCTCTTCCCCTTCCCCTTCCCCTTCCCTTCCCCCTTCCCCCTTCTCCTCTCTCCTCTCCTTCACCACCTTCACCTACCAACCACATCAATTTCCCTCTTTCCTCTCCCTGCTCTCCCCCCATATCCCTTCTCCCCCCTTTCCTCACCCTCCACACTACCTTCCCCAACTCTACTCCCTCCCTCCCCCAACCCTGCCACGCTACCTTCCCCAACTCTACCCCTCCCTCCTCCCCCAACTACCTCCCCCTCCCCCAACCTACCCCTCCCTCCCCTCCCAACCCTGCCAACTACCTTCCTCTCTACCTCCCTCCCTCCCGCAACCCTGCCACGATACCTTCCCACTCTACCTCCCTCCCTCCCCCAACCCTAACTCCACTCCCTACCTCCTCCCCCAAACTCTACCTCCCTCCTCCCCACCCTACCTCCTCCTCCCTGCCCCAACCCAGCCTCCCTACCTCCCCAACCTACGTCCCTCCCTCCTTCCTCCCCAACCCTACGTCTCCCTCCCTCCTCCCCCAACCCTTCCCTACCTCCCCAACCCTCCTCCCTCTCCTTCCTCCCCCAACCCTACGTCCCTCTCCTCCCTCCTCCTCCTCCAACCTACCTCACTACCTCCCCCCCACTCTACCCTCCCTCAACCCGCTTCCTCCCTCCTCCACACTCCTCCCTTCCTCCCTCTTCAACATACCTCCCCCCCCCCTCTTCCTTAATTAATTAGGGTAGCTGCTACTCCACGGCCCAACCCCTGCACTCTATTTTTCTCCATTTGAAGAATCGAGATATTTCCTGTAATATATGTGTCATAATAGATGGTAATTTTTTTCTTTTTTCATTCTTTTCTTATTGTATTTTCTTATTTTCATTCTTTTCTTATTGTGTTGTGTGTATTGAGGTTCCTAATATCCTGTGGGTTTTTAGCCTATTAAGAATATTCATAAATAGATACATGGTTGTATATGTAAATGGATAGGTAGATATTAATTGGAAAGGTCGCACAGTTTGTGTACGTGTAATATTAAAGATAATAGATATAAAGATGATATGATAATATGATGATGATAATGATAATAATATAATAATAATGATGATAAAAATGATAATATGATGATGATAATAATAATGATAATAATAATAATAATAATAATAATAATAAAAGTGATATTAATAATAATGATAATAATAATAATAGTAGTAATGATAATAATAATAATAATAATAATAATAATAACATGGCGATG